TGGCCTCCAAGGAACACTCTGGCTGCACTTCTTCCAAAACAGATCTATTGGTTCTTTTGGCAGTCCATGGCACTTTTAGTATTCTCCTCCAACACCAAAATTCAAAGGCATCAATTCTTCTATGATCTTCCTTATTCACTGTCCAGCTTTCACATCCATGGACTACACTGCCTTAAATACCCCAGTCTGTAAGAAACAGGCTGGCTCTTGGTCTCTTTTGGTGAATTAGAGTACTCCCTCCCAGGTTTACACCTGCCTGCTGTTGAAGGTATGTTTCTCTTTTCATCTCTTCCTTTCCTATTTCTTACAATGACCTTTTGTTTTCTTTATATATGAGGTTCTTGATGTCATTCCATGAGTCATCTGGTCTTTGGTCATTAATGTTCAATGTGTGAAATTTCTCCTTGAGGTGGTTTCTAGATTCAGGTGGGATATACTTATGGTGGTGTGTTGGCTCTAATAGATTTATTTTAATGTACTTCAACTTCAGCATGAACTTGCATGTGAGTAATTGATGGTCTATTCTTAACAGTTGGTCTTTGACCTTATTTTTTTGATACTATTGAACTTCTCCATTTCTCTTCCCACATATGTAATATATTTATTTTCTGTGTATACTATTTGGCAAAGTTCACATGTATAGTTGCTGTTTATGTTGCCGAAAAAAAAGTATTTGAAATAAATGAGTCATTGGTCTTCTAAAATTCCATCATGCATTCTCCAGAGTCCTTTCTATCACAACAGCCATATTTTCCAAATACTGATTCCTCTTGTTTGTTTCCAACTTTTGAATTCTAATAACTAGCAATTATCAGTGCATATTCATGAATGTTTGAACAATTTCAGACAGAAGAAGCTGATAGAATTATTCAATTTCTTTATCTTTGGCTTTGATAGCTGGTGCATAAATTTGAATAATAGTGATATTAACTGGTCTTTCTTGTAGGTGTATAGATGTTATTATCCACCACTTGTCTGTCAGTCTGTTGTATTGTGGTTTCTTGCATGCTACTGTGATGCTGGAAGATATGCCACTGGTGTTTTAAATACCAGCAGGGTCACTCATGGTGGACAGGTCTTAGCAGAGTGTCCAGATTAAGAAAGACTAAGAATGAGGATAGATGAATTTTTCTGAATATTTAACCACTAAAAACCTTATGGATAGCAGGGAGGCACTGTCAGTTAGTGCCAGAAAATTGAATATTGAAACATTATGAATAGCACCAAAATATTGTCAAGTATAGTGCTGAAATCTGTCCACCATGGGTGACCCTGTTGGTATCTGAAACACCAGTGGCCTAGCCTCCAGCATCAAATGAACAACTAAGCCATTACAGTATGACAAACGGACAAATATATCAAATAAAGGATGTAGATTTTTAAATTATCAACTGTCAGAAGCTCTATGGAGCTTTGTGGGTGCTCAATAAATATTAAGCAATCAATTTTATTTTTCTTCTGTACAATGGGGTGAGTAATGCTGACTTGTCTCACAAAACTTCATGTGGAAAATAATGAGAACAAAGAACTTTTCAGATAGTGAAGTAATTCATATAAGTTGCTTCAATAGGTCTAAGGTCTAACTAGATGGTGCAAGAATAAAATTTCTTATTTTTATTATTGTATCTGTGAAATACAGGTCTTTTCATCTGTTTAAGATGAAACAGTCATTATCTTTACTTATCACTAAAAAGCCAGCATGAATAATTTCTGTGCAAATGGAATTTTTCTTGTGATTTTAACATTTATCACTTTTTGTAAAATGAAACTTTTATCTTTACCTGATATCAAAATGGGATCATATCTTTATTTAAGTAATTTAATGAGGCATTTCATCTGCATTATATTACTCTACAGTAAGAAAATGCTTTTTGAAATGACTGATACTCAGCACAAATGACAGAAATGTAAATTTAATAATCCTCCTACTCAAAAATAATACAATTCATGTATCGTTACTAAGGAAAATGATACATTGCATTATACCTTCTTGGAGACATCCACAGTATTGTTTTTAATGTTTATCTTCAGTAATAATATGTTTTATATTTTTTACAGTGTTTCAGCAAAAGACAGCCAGAAGACAGTCTGATAGTGACAAGTTCCATGGTCCTCCTAAGAAGCAAGGTATTAAATAACTTCAGTTTACTTAATAATTTGAATACATTTCATGAATACTGGATAAATTCTGCTAGAAGAGAAATAGTGTGTGCTTCATTAATTGTGCTTTTAAATT